AAAACCCAAACCAATAGAGCCAGATTATTATCATAATCTAAAGCAGGGTGGGGAACCTTCTGAAAGGGAAGATGAGTAATATCTCCCCCCCCCCCAGCCCTATCCTGGCAAAACTGCCCATATGAAGGTCAATGGTACTGAAAGGCACTGAGTAGACCAGCAGAATTAACTCTCCCAGTATATTTCTTCATGTGGATCATCAGCTGCAGTGACAAAGGCTGCTTCAGTCCCAAAACTGGGGTGGAAGCCATAATGAAAGAAATCAGTATGCTCTGATTTTGAGCAAGTTATACAAATTCCTGGGTGAAATTGGCTATTATAACATTGACAGAATAACAGAAGAACAGTGGGATCCAGATATGGTCCCTTCCAACAACAGATGAACTATTGCCATTTTAAAGCAGGTAAGCCTGGTAGCCTTAATCAGCCAGGATGGGCCTAGGACTAGGTGAAGCAAGCAGGGGTGGGGGAGCTGTTTGGAGGGGGCTACTTGATACAGGACTGGACTGGATGAATCCCAAGCTGGAATTAAGATTGCCGGAAGAAATATCAACAACCTCAGATATGCAGATGACACAACTTTGATGGCAGAAAGTGAGGAGAAATGAAAGAACCTTTTAATGAGGGTGAAAGAAGAGAGCACAAAATATGGTCTGAAGCTCAACATCAAAAAAACGAAGATCATGGCCACTGGTCCCATCACCTCCTGGCAAATAGAAGGGGAAGAAATGGAGGCAGTGAGAGATTTTACTTTCTTGGGTTCTATGATCACTCCACATGGTGACAGGAGTCACGAAATTAAAAGACGCCTGCTTCTTGGGAGAAAAGCAATGACAAACCTAGACAACATCTTAAAAAGCAGAGACATCACCTTGCCGACAAAGGTCCGTATAGTTAAAACCATGGTTTTCCCAGTAGTGATGTATGGAAGTGAGAGTTAAACCATAAAGAAGGCTGATCGCCGAAGAATTGATGCTTTTGAATTATGGCGCTGGAGGAGACTCTTGAGAGTCCCATGGACTGCAAGAAAATCAAACCTATCCATTCTTAAGGAAATCAGCCCTGAGTGCTCACTGGAAGGACAGATCGTGAAGCTGAGGCTCCAATACTTTGGCTACTTCATGAGAAGAGAAGACTCCCTGGAAAAGACCCTGATGTTGGGAAAGATGGAGGGCACAAGGAGAAGGGGACGACAGAGGACGAGATGGTTGGACAGTGTTCTCGAAGCTACTAACATGAGTTTGACCAAACTGCAGGAGGCAGTGGAAGACAGGAGTGCCTGGAGTGCTCTGGTCCATGAGGTCATGAAGAGTCAGACACGACTAAATACAGGAAATATGATACAGGAAATATGATACAGGAAATATGATACAGGAAATATGATACAGGAAATATGATACAGGAAATATGACTCCCCACTGCTTCGCTACTCTAAAATTCCTCCTCCCAAAGCAGGTTTTCTTTTAAAAAATTACACATAATATAAATTAATTTGTAGTCAGTTCCTTAATCTGTTTAGAAGATGGATGTTAGAAGTGCAAGCGCATTCCCATTAACTTAATACTTTTAAAAGGGAAGTCAGCAAGGAAAAATAATCTATCAAGGGTTAACACTACAAACACAAAAAGAATAGCTAAGATTGTGGTGAGAAATGGCCTTTTAAGAACTTTTAAAGCTTGGCCCATTTCCTCTCCTGCCACCAGATGTAGCTGTGCAGCAACAAAGGACTTTCCAGGAAGTCGTCTCCAATTGCATCTTTAGAGGGCACTCTCCTGGGATGCATTCCTACATCATTATTTTTAATCCTCATTAATCTCTGTTTTACTGTGTCACCTTCTAAAGATTTCCCTTGCTAAAATCAGGATTGCATGTATTAAAGGGTACTTAATGGCAATACAATATTGCTTGATGTTATTACTATGACCCTGCAGACCCAAAGTTGTGCAAGACAACTATAGTCCCTATTTTAGTTAATGTGCTAGCATTAATTTATCCTTCTTTGCCTCTTCAGTTCAGGCACTGCAAGCAGTGCATAGATAACTTGGGAGTTATAACCAGACAACATGACTTTCAAATGTTCAATGTGTTGTTTCACATAACCCTTCCCTCAAGAGACTTCGTAAGTTCCCAATAAGACTCCTTGCAAGATGTACTTACAGATGAGTATGTCATCAGATTCATCTGGAGATAAGTGTATGCAGTCTCTCTGTTGATGATATTTTCGTGGATCGTTTTTCAGCCGAGTATTTCATTTACTGTACAGAATTATATGGCACTTAAAACAAAAATGCCAAAGCAGTAATCAAAAATACCTAAACTAACAGTTCCTAAGCTCCTCAAAAGCAGAGCGGCTTCTGGGATTTCTTGTGTCTGTTACCACACTTAGTGTCCCAACAGATGGCCAAAATTGAAAGCTGACTACTGAAGTCTGGCTTCTTTGGGATCTATGAACCATGGTTCACAAAATACAGGAAACAATGGATTGACTACGGCTTCTTGGTTTGCTTCCTCACTTGTGTCAAGGGAAGAATGAAGTACTGGTATGCAAAGCATATGCATATCCTTATTAACTCATGATTTGATCATAAGAACATGGCTGCAGTAACACTAAGGATGTAACAACACTATCAACCAGTGCTTAGGCCAGAGCAGCTAGTGCACCTGCCTGTTCAACAAAATGTATGCATTTATTTATTTATTTACTTACATCCTACTTTATAGCTTTGAAAGCAGCTTACGAAAGATTATCAATCTTGAATCCACATTTGACCTGAGTGCAGAAATATGACATGCATATGGAACAAGGATTATTCCAGCATTTCCTGCTCTTGTCCTTTCCTAGCAGCACACCAGGCATGGGAATGGGGCTGAGCAGCTGGAACAGCTATTTGGTTCCGAGTACAAATCTCACCTCTTTCCTCTTCTCTATTGATCCCAGAGAGTTCACTATACAAAACACAAATAGTGGTGTCTTTGACACAGCCAATTTCTGTTAAATAAATCAGAATGTGTCTGGCTCTAGCAAATCTCTTCAAGCATATCTTTTTCTCCTACTTTTCATATCTGGTTTTTTAAAAATCGTAGTAATGTCTTTTTTTCACCATGGTAATTGAAGTAATGGGACGCGGGTGGCGCTGTAGGTTAAACCACAGAGCCTAGGTCTTGCCGATCAGAAGGTCGGCGGTTCAAATCCCCGCGACAGGGTGAGCTCCCGTTGCTCGGTCCCTGCTCCTGCCAACCTAGCAGTTCGAAAGCACGTCAATGTGCAAGTAGATAAATAGGTACCGCTGTGGCAGGAAGGTAAACAGTGTTTCCGTGCGCTGCTCTGGTTCACCAGAAGCGGCTTAGTCATGCTGGCCACATGACCCGGAAGCTGTACGCCAGCTCCCTCGGCCAATAAAGCGAGATGAGCGCCGCAACCCCAGAGACGGTCACGACTGGACCTAATGGTCAGGGGTCCCTTTACCTTTACTAATCGAAGTAATTAAAAAGTATTAAATTTTCAGTAAGAACTCAAAGTAACTTCTGATGGTAAGACCACCTGCTAATTATCTGTTAATAGCTTTTGGTGAATCTTCTGTTTGTAACAAGATAGGGCAACAAGACACACTGGCTGTGTTCAGACGATCATATCTCGCTTTAATAAGCAGAGTTGTGAATGAGATTTGCACCCACAACACACAGCAATTTCACTTCATGTGAGCCACTTGATGAGTTATATTTAACTGAAGACTTCCGCAATTGCTGTCTCATGCAAAGGGAGGAGCTGAGAGAATTATTCATACCTTCTTTATGTGGCCAGTGACTATCTGTATCGCTGAAGAATTCAGTTTGAAAAGGAGTAGGAGAGGCCTGATTCCTTGAACAACTCCCTAACCTCCTTGCTTCTACCAGGACACCCATGAAGTTTTATTCCTAAAATGAAAATGAAAACTCTACTTCCAGTCCATGAACCTCAATTGTAGGACAAGCCTGTCCAACCTGTCTATTGCAATCTACCAGGCTGCCCCTGGCCAATCCTTGCCGATCGCGTAATCTACATAGATCGACGCAAACCAAAAAAGCTCAACAACTCTGGTCAATCCAATGGGTAGATCACTGCCAGTTTATTTATACAGCCATACCTCGGGTTAAATGTGCTTCAGGTTGAGCGTTTTCAAGTTATGCTCCGCAGCAACCTGGAAGTAACGGAGCGTGTTACTTCTGGGTTTCGCCCCTCATGCATGCGCAGACGCTCAAAATGATGTCACACACATGCGCAGAAGCGACAAAACACAACCTGCGCACCCGCAGATGCATCTTACGTTCTATTCAGGATGCAAATGGGGCTCCGGAACAGATCCCATTCGCATCCAGAGGTACCACTGTAGTGAGAGTAGATCGCAGCCTCTTGGAAGTTGGACACCGTTGCTGTAGAAGATTCAGGGTTGATTAATAAGAACACCTGTATGTCTTCCAATTATTTTTCTTTTTTGTCATCATGGATGGAAAACTGTGATGCTGACAGGCCAGCATCAGTATCAGGCCAGCTCCTGATTTAGTACCCAATAGCTTATATATTATGCCCAGGGGAGGGGAGGAGGAGAGAGGTTAAGAAAGACAAAATCACCACTCATGGGGGAGAGCCCAAGCATTTTGTGTCAATTGTATTTTCAGGTCCTATCCAGCATTATGAAACATAAAATACAGTAATATTTACAAAACAAAGTCTCAAGAGTTGCATGTTCACCCCTTGCTCTCCTTGTCTCTTTTATTTCCCCTTTTCTCCATTTATTATCTTTGCCTTTCTGTTCCCTCCATTTTGTTCTGTCTGATCTTTAACAAAAAGTAGATTGTAAGATTCTAGGAACAAGAGACTGGCTTTTTCTTTTCTTTTTTAAAAAAGTATGTTATTATAAAGCACCAGGCTCACACATGATGCAATATAAACAAGCATAAGAAAGTGTATAAGCTTTCGGGAATTTCAAAAGCATAATGATTCATAAAGTAATGCTACTTACACTGTGAACTCCCAAAGCCTTCCAGATGGCAAAACTGATGAGTCCAACTCCACACCAGGCATATAGTGAACCCCATCCTAAGGCACGTAAGGCAATGGACGAACCACTCTCTGGTAAAGCAGCTGTGGCAACCACACCCTAGAAGAAGGTTTTATGTGTTAAAGAACAGAAATATATCATAGTGAACCAACAAAGAAGCATTTTCAGTAAGGTAGGGCAAGTTGCTTTCTGAGAATGCTTTCTTATCACATATGTATATCACTCCTGGTTTTCCAAACATTCAAGTGATTAACAAAAGAATGGTTACTGGAGAGAAGCTTAAAACACTAATTTGGTCTTGCTTTATCCAGGGATACTGTGGGAAAATGATTGCTTGTACATGAGAGCATGAGCAAAGTTCTTATTGTTACAGGGTGATTTCATAGCTAGAAGCATCCTTGGAGCATGAACAGCGCGTGAACAGCTCGTGCTGTCCCATATGATTGGCTAACGTAGCATAGCCTGATCGCTCGCATGGTCTAGTACGAAGGTCCTTATCTGCTGGCTAGAACAAATTGCTTGGCTTGTATTTTTGTATCTTTCTTTTTCACACAATAAAAGCTGTGCTGCATTAGCCCTGGGAGCAGCCATATTTCGGAACCTATCATGGTGTGAGACTGATTTTCCTCTGAATGCCGAGCTGCAACTCGACAATGAGTGCTCCCGTGTGACTGCCTTCGGACTTCACGTTGTTTTTTCATTATTCAGCACTCACCAACACGTCGTTCATCCACGTAGTGGATCCCTGATGAGTGCTCCCGTGTGACTGCCTTCGGACTTCACGTTGTTTTTCATTATTCAGCACTCACCAACACGTCGTTCATCCACGTAGTGGATCCCTGGTGAGTGCTCCCGTGTGATTTCTTTCGGACTTCATGCTGTTTTACAACGTTCAGCCTCACCTCGCCCGGCAGGGCTGCAGACGCGTCGTTCATCCACGTAGTGGATCCCCGGTGAGAGCTCCCGTGTGAATGTGATTCTGGACTACGTTACGGACTTATCAGCACTTATCTCCGCCCGGACAGGGCAAAAGGCGCCTCCCTCATCCTCCTAAGGATCCCTCCGGTAAGTGCTCCCTGCTCTTTTCGCAACTCTTGCAATCATGGGAAAATCTCTCTCTGCACCACAGAAAAATTTTTTTAAAGACCTTAAATTCCTTTTGGCCAGTAACAACCTTGCTGTTCGGAAAGCTGACCTTAAGTCCCTTATAAAAGCCCTGGACACTCACTGCCCCTGGTTCCCCCAGGACGGAAATTGGGAGTTAGACGATTGGAAAAAAATTGGACACTTCTTTCAAAATCATCCTCAGATTGATGTCAAGGTTTTGCACGCCTGGAGTAACGTCTACAAAGCTATGTCGTGCTTAACTCCTTCAAACATTCTTCTGGCTGCGGCAACAGCTTCTTCGCCCGCCCTCCCAGCTCCCGCTTTGCCTGCCTCAAACCTACCTCCTAAAACTGCCGGACATTCTCCCTCCGGCTTCTCCCGTCCACTCCCCTGCATTCTTCAAATTCTGCAGCACCCCCCGCTCTCCACCTCCTCCGCCCAAGGCATTTGGCACCGCTTCTACTACTCCACTTCAAGAATCTCTCCGTGCCGCTGCTCCGTTGTTGGCTTTTGATTCTACAACTCCTAATCTTTTTTCCTGTGAGTGTTACTGCCGCCCCAGGGGAGGCCCAGCCCGGCACGACCAGTCTGATTTGAGATTTCATAAAGGAAACTGTATTCTTCTGTCAAGGACAATGGCCCTGCACCCCCAGCCCCTGTTATGCTGAACCAAACTGATGTTCTTGATGGCTTAACTGGCGAAGGCAATTTTCTTACTATTGCCCAACAGTTGGCCCTTGATCCCATGTATTGGACAGCTACTACTGCTGCCGCCCAAGAAGCTTTGTCCCTCTGTTCTGATGACAAGAATGAGCGCGGTGCCAGCATCAGACAGGGTCCTACAAAGCCCTATGGACAATTGTCGATCGCTTGGATAATACTCTTAAGCGGCAAGTTCAGGACGTAGCAGCCAAGAACTGATTGTCGCCAGCTTGCGTATTGATAATGAGGACTGTAAGCAAGCGCTGCGCCCTTTGATGACAACTCCCAATACTAGCCATTGCAGAATGTGCTTAAAGCCTGCCAGTCAGTGGGCACTGAGATGCATAAAGCTCGCTGCTAGCCATGCTTTGTCCTCCACCGTGCCCCAGAATCCTGCAAAGGATAAAACCTGCTTTGGATGTAGCAAAGTGGACTATTTTCGTGCGCAGTGCAGATCTACCGCACAACAACGTCACTCCAGCACAAAGTGCCCATCTTTGATACAGGCCAGGACTTGTCAATTTTCTGAAGCACATCTTAGATCACATATTGGTCACCCTGGTTATTTGGCAACAGGAATTTTACGCCTGCTGAACTTCATTTCCGGAAGGAAGAAGTATTGCAACGCCCTTTAGTGTCTTACAGGTTGCTTCCAGATCCACAGTGGAAGGGTCCAACTTCCTTGATTTCCTGGGGTCGCGGATTTGCGGCAATTGACGTAGACGGAGTTCCCCGATGGGTTCCAGCCCGCTGCGTTCGACCTTGGCGCTCTTCTGTTGCCTCGTCTTCGCCCAAGGAGACACCAGCACCTTGAAACCGTATTTTACGCTGTTTGCCGATGATGACCTCTCACCTGACCTCAACCCGCATTGCAGTTGGAGACATCGCCATATTGATGTGCCCTGGATAAAGTCACCTTCCACAGCTGTTCCAGTGTTTCCTGGCACGTTGAAAGGCCATCTTCAACCCTATCGCGTTGGCCCCCCTTCCCCCTGGGAAGCCACCGTTTCTACCACTTATCGTTACAGTTTTGCCGCCTCTTGTCTGGGAAATGAACCTGGCTTTGAAGGATGCCCTCGTCAGACCGGCATCGCTTGGGTTTTGCCCCCCAATAGCGACCATCCCATCTGTGTCACCACGTTCGTTGGGTTTGGATTTTGGCTCAGCAGTACGGAGCAATACATCAGGCTTATTTACAGCAAATGGGCTCCTGTATCTGCAGAAATGGTTGTGTGACTTCTTCTGGATTGTGGTTTTTACATGCCAATAATCGAGCCACGAAATATCACACAGGTTGCTCGGAAGTGGCCATTGGACTAATTTACCATTCTCATCCTTATTGGCATCGCTTGGATTTTACCCCCCAGATCTCTTCTTCTTTTCTCCTCCCTCAGGAGTCCTGCCCTATGATGTATTCCCCTGAGCATGTACAGAGGGCTGTCTTGGAACTATTGTGGACTCTTGGCAAGGGAGGGGGTGAGGGATTTCAGTGTGTTCCAGTTGTTTCATTCTTGTGCTTTGGCATGGTTCCCGGACAGAAAGCAAGTTGCAATATGGTTCTTCAGCAAGGCCTGGAAGACAATGGACTCTGTTTCTCTACCTTGTTGCAATTTTTTTTAGTTTACAGCAAAGCAGCATATGCCTAGCTAATGCCTTTTGGCTGCTGAGAAAAATGATTTTGAAAAGCTTTGAAAAGTTTTGAGCTTTTTTTGGTGGTGGTATTCTAGTATTCCAGTAAATGCTTCATATAAGATTAGCAATAATATGCAGGACAATCGTATAAGTTTTTAGGTCATTATCTATATTGTAATTCGACCTATGAGTACATTAATGGATCTTCTTGTTTTTTTTTAATGTTACCACTTCTGCCTTCTTTAGGTGCAGCCATGAATTACCGTGATTTGCATAAATTGGCAAACTGGACAGAAAATTTGTTTAATTCCACCATTTTGGCTTTAAAAATGATTAACAAAGAAATATCAGAAATAAGAAATGTAGTTCTTCAACATCATTATGCTTTAGATGTGATCCTTGCTTCTAAAGGTGGAATTTGTGCCTTAATTCATTCTCATTGCTGCATGTATATAACTGATCAATCGACCAATATCTCTGCTACTATTGATCATATGGAACAAATGATAGCCCATAATCCTTTGAATCCACCTGAAGGTTTTGATCCATGGGAGTGGTTGTCTTCTTGGTTACCTAATGGATTATGGTTAAGAAAAATATTATTGATTGTAATTGCATGTATTGGCTGGCTTCATTATGGTGTGTTGTTGCATTCAATGCATACCCTCTTTGATTTCCCAATGCACTGCATGGTGGTACCGACACGGCCCACCACAGGGGTTACAAGAGGAATTTATGTTGCAAAGTGTAGACGCTTAGGCAATGAAGTGTACGATTTGGACTAATGGTCCCTCTTTTTCCTCTAATAATATAAACAAGAAAAGGGGACATGTGGGAAAATGATTGCTTGTACATGAGAGCATGAGCAAAGTTCTTATTGTTACAGGTGATTTCATAGCTAGAAGCATCCTTGGAGCATGAACAGCGCGTGAACAGCTCGTGCTGTCCCATATGATTGGCTAACGTAGCATAGCCTGATCGCTCGCATGGTCTAGTACGAAGGTCCTTATCTGCTGGCTAGAACAAATTGCTTGGCTTGTATTTTTGTATCTTTCTTATTTCACACAATAAAAGCTGTGCTGCATTAGCCCTAAGAGCAGCCATATTTCGGAACCTATCATGGTGTGAGACTGATTTTCCTCTGAATGCCGGAGCTGCAACTCGACACTTTCCAGTGATGCCATCAGGTCCAGCCGCCTTCCTCGGATTCGCCATCCTCAATACCTGTCTCACCTCATGTTCCTCTACCATGAATGAGGGGCCCCTATGGGCTGATGGCTGTAATACCGGCGTCTCAGGTGGCTCCTTCTCGAAGCGAGCAAAGAAGAGGTTAAGCTTCCTCCGCCAGCAAAGGGTCACCGTCGACAGCACCAAGGTTAGGTTTGTAGTTGGTAATATGCTGAATCCCCTGCCACATCTGTCTTGTGTTGTTGCTCCTTAAATTATCCTCAATCCTCAGCCTATAATCCAATTTTGCCCGTCGAATACCCCTCCTCAAGTTTGCTCTTGCTACACTGTAAAGCTGCACCTCGCCTGACCTGAAAGCCCTGTTCCTTTCCCGCAACAGGCCACTGGACCTCTCTATTCATCCAGGTTTCTGATTGGGGTAAAAATATAATATAATATAATATATAGTCTTCAAGGTTTGCTCCAAAGGG